AACGAGTACCCATGATTGTGATCTACATCCAATGCGTTGATCACACCTCATGCTAGTCTTGATTCAACATTGTTCCCACAATGATGACTGACTAGGGAGTTTAGAATCATTCTCTAATGATTCAAGGATGCCGAAATACAACAAACATGCTAATCGTATAACGGGAAAAATAATGCATTCATAAATCAATGAATCAATACAAAGTAAAATGTCATATCATGGATCATCCTAGAGCATTACAACCAACATCAATCTCTTGCATTCTCCTTTTATATGCACACATCAAGATCTATTTAGATCTATCTTTATCTTCTTGTTGATTTGTCTATCTCCAAGATTGTTGGTTAAATCTTATCTTCAAACCTTAGTAGTTATCATCTCCACAAAATCTGCAATTTAGATTATCTCCGGATTTATCTCCGTAACAAATCTAATTACCTGCAAAAACAACTTTAACATTCTTCCCTTTTTTGACTTTCAATTCATTTACACCCCAAAACAATCGTTAGAAAACAATAATTTTCATCATCCAATGTTAGATATACTTCACTTGAGATTCATATCTCCCACCATGTGTATGAGATGAAATTCAATGTCCTGTATTTATTATAATGTTGAATGATTCTTATTGAATGTACAATTGTTACAAAAGAATATATACATCATTAGCATGGCTATTGTTTAGGAAACAAAAAGGAAAAGATTAAAACGAGTAGATTTTGCTCTCAATGATTGATTCTCCTTAATATTTATACATAACTCATCCTCTTGTTTCCAATATTCTTTTTAATATTGTCTTTTTTTTTTCTAGCTTCATTTCTTTTTTCAAGATTTTCATTTTTTTTTCAATGATATGAGATACAAAGCACACACGATTTAGACTTGTTTGGAGGGAGTTATTGAGCTCGTAATGTATATCTCTTATGAACTTCATCTGTAAAACTCCAAAAATATTCTTTTTTTGATCCAATTATTTTCAAAACTTGCAACTCTACGAAACTGAAATATAACCGGGTTTTATGATCTATAATATCTAAAATATCTACAAATGCATATGATCATCATGTAAATCGTAGACAAACCATCCTAAAAATATAGTGAAAAATATGAGTTATCAATATGTTTCTTTTTCTTCTTAAAACTCATTCCTTTGTTGATTCTTCTTTCCTTTATTCGATATACCAAGTTTTCTTTTTGTTTAGATTATTCTAGATGTTAAATCTTCATTTGTTGTAATTTCCAAACATTAACAAAATATAAAGGAGTATATGGAAAAAATTGAGATAAAATATTTTTTACAAATATAAAACAAAAAATTGCATATAAATTTGTGAGAATATATTCACCAATTTTGTCCATTTTACTTAAGATTTAGAAAATTTTAAAAATATGTAATTTTAAAAAATACTAAACTTTTTAAGTTATTTAAATAATATGTCAAATTAAAAGTATCGAACTCATGTGACGTATGGAAATGTTGAAATAGCGTGAAATATTCTTACGTCACATTTGCACTTTCGTCCGCCACGTCAACAATTTCGTATACCACGTAAACTCGATTGTTTAATTTAACACTCTTTAAATAATTTAGGTATTATTTTGAATAACTTAAAAAAATTAGTATTTTTTTATTTCAAAAAATAGTCTATATTTTGGTTTGTCAAAATTAGAAAGTTGAGTGTTTTTTATTTTTCTTTATTTTTTTAAGGATTACGTACGTTTTTTACATCAACATTTAAAAAATTGAAATAAAAAAAAGTAAGGCGGTAGGCGTAACTATCTTATTTTGGATTTTGTTTTTTCTATCAATTGTTATCTTTTTTTTTTTTGATAACGGTAAATGTATTGATTTTCAAAAACTGTTTATATACAACCGGACAATAAGTCGGAACTAACCATTAAGATACAGGATTCCAAGTCAATTGTTATCTTTTTATTCATTTATTTCCTAATTCACTAAACAGATGGTTTTTTGTGTGTGTAAATAAACAGATGTATACAATTCGGAAACAGCTCTAGATCGCCATTTTTTCATATTCACTTATCATTAATTCAAATTCAATAATAACATGATTATTAAGTTAAAGAAGCCAAGTTCGCCATAGAGTTTCCATTTTCAGCTTGCAAAGTAATATTATTTTCGGTTGTGTTTAAATAACAAATATATGATAAATCGAAGAGAAAAAATATATAAAAATCGGCGACCGTAAAATTAGAAATTTAAAATAACAAATATATAAAAATCGAAGAGAGAAGCGGCAAAAGAAGAGAAAAAAAAAAAGATTACGGCGACCGCTGGGATTTGTGTCTGCAGAACGTCACCCGGCACTGTCCCCTGCTCTTCAAGCACTTGAACAGCTTTCTCCTTTCTATTTTCTTCTCTCTATAAATACAAGACACTTTCAGTTTCCTCTTCTTCTTCTTCTTCTTCTTCTTCAAGAGTTCCTTCTCAATCTCCTCCTTTTTCCTTCTCTGATCTTTGCTTTCTTTTTTGTCGGAGAAACATGAACATGAACACAAACACCTGTCAGAGCTCAAAAGGCGTGGTGAATTTCGCGAACTGGTCAGAGGTTTTAGCTTCGATTGTATCTCCTGGTTTCGGCTCTAACCCTCTCCAAGAAGTGGTCGACGCTTCCACGGCTGAATTTTCAGGCCCTTTGAATCCTCCTTACCCCATCAATATCAATCTCTCCCCTCAGCCTTTGATTGAAGGCACCGAGCCGAGGAAGGAGAAAGCAGTAAGCCTTTTTGCAGCTTCTTTCCACTTCTTCTGGTTAATTTCTTGGAGTTTCTTCACACTAATTCTTTCTTATTTCCTTTTGGGTTTATAAAGAAATGGAAAGATGTTGGACTTGGCACGAAGAAAACCCTAGGGAAGAAAACGGCAACGGCAGCCAGATCCCACGCTTCCTCTGAGAAGGTAAGGCATGTATACAGTTACAACCCTTTTCATGTTTCTCATGTTGGATTCGTATAATTTATGCATAACGGTGTCGGGGTCTTATTTTTCTTTTTACGAACACAGAAACGCAGGGACAAGATCAACGAGAAATATCATAACCTTGAGCAAATTACTCCCCATAGCGGAAAGGTGACAGACACCACTTGTTATGCCTCTTCCCCTGTTTTGTTTGTCTTGTTTCAATATCCAAATAAATTCCTTTTTTTTTTTTTTTAATTTCAATGAATGTAATCTCCAGCTTGATAAAGCTACCACAATCGAACTGGCCACGGAACATATCCGAGAGTTGCAGAGGCAAAAGGCTGAAGTAAAATCTCACACAGCCTTCACATTTTTACACGCATATATGTTTTATGCCGAAGTGCCATGTTTGATGCATTTGTTCACAGTACTTGGAGATGTACCCACACCTGAAGCCGATCATGTGTATGAGCCCTCGGCTTTTTAACGCTATGATTCCGTTTATGATGCCTCCGATGCCGCACATGATGCCGTACAATGGACAGGGACAGGGTTTTGGCTCTGTTCCACCTTCGATGTCTCAGAACGGTAAGCCCTTTTATGCTGATCAAGACCACGAGGGAGAGACTAGCGATCATAATCAGGTCTGTCCAAGAATTGAAATCGATTATTGTTATTATTATTATTAGTTCCTTGTTAAATTTTCATGACCGGTAACGTTTTATTTTTCTCACTCCTCTTTTGTGTTCACATGTTTTTTCAGGAAGACTGAATTCTGCCTGGCTAAGGAAAGCTCCTCCTCCTTGGTTCTTGGATCCTAGGGTTTTTTTTGGCTTGCCTGTCTTTTTTTGTAAAATCCATAAAGACATGAAAAAATGGGGAACTTTTCGCATCCCGATTCCATCTTTCCGCAGGTACGTTTTTACAAAACCGGATGAGCAAGACGAATGGTACCTCTCGGCCACACTCAGACACCGATCCCGGATGGATGGATCTGTCGGGAACACCAAGATCGATCTTGGCACACGTCCCATGATCCAACTCGATGCTTGAAATAGTTCAAATCGAGTCTCTACCATGATCGAGAGAACCGGACTGAAGAATCCCGAGAAATCCCGACCAACACCCCCAGCTGACCAACCAACTGCCAACATGCGATGAGAACATAAAACACACAACAGACCCATGGACCGATCCCAAGCGACCCACAAGCGACCCACAAACTGAACCTGGCGGATTCCACGAACCATGGACGGACCTTCTCACACAACCTACTACCCACGAGAGACCGGCCAAGTCCGACGAACATTCCGGACCTTTCGAAACGTTTTCTCGCCCTCGGGCCAAGCCTGTTTAGACGAGATCTTCTCTGCATATGTGTGAACGATTTTCAGTGTGAACGTGATCTAGTGTTAGGTCAGTTTGAACGCAATATAGGGAAAATAGATCTTGTTGTAATCTTTATCCTCGGTAGATAAGGATTAAGAGGAGTGATCTATGGATCTCCATCTTGGTTACTAGGCCTATAAATAGGCATGGCCGGCCAAGTTGAGAGACCATCTCAGATTTCCTTTCCTTTCACGCGTCTCTTGTCCGATGTTGCTCCTTATCGCCGACCTCGTTTATATTTCCCAACTTGTACACGAGTCTGTTGGGTTTTGGAGATCCCTAAACATGCGTTTACAAAGATTTCTAGGGTTCTAATATTGGATTTCATGCAGCGAAATAATACGAAACGAAACCCAAACAACAGATCTTGGATATAATGATAAATATATCAATATACCAAAGTAGGTTTCGATCCATAGACCTGTCGTTCTCTGCACCTAATCTACATTCACGGGCTTGTGTATGCTATAACACGATCTGGAGGTCGGAAACGGAAACGAAAACGAGGCTTCCCAAGAGAGAGAACGAACGACGACCATGAGAGAGAGTGGGAGAAAAAAACTTTTTTTTTCTTTTGTCTCTTGCTTAATAAAATTATGTGTCTAACACATAATTACAAAACAATTAAGGTTTCATTACCCGAAATGGACATATGGGTCTTCACTTAGCCATTAAGAGAAAACAACCCCATTAACTTCATAAATCATCATATGGACCCATTAGACCGCCTAAATTTATCAAATAGGTTTCTAATCAGTTTTGCAAACGATAGTGACCAGAACACCTTATCCATCAGAGTCATCTCCCTTTCTTTTATCTTTCCATTTTGATTCAATAAAGTTTCGCTAGTTTTGCGTTCACAGATCTTCTCTTCTTTTTCTCTCTTGGCTTTTTTTCGTACCACTTGGTCTTCCCGGATCTATAAATCCCGAAAGGTTTTGGCTTTAATTCAACACATGTACCAGCCGTGCCACTTCCACATCATCCCGATCGAGAAGAGCAAAGTCCGACATGACAACTAACAATGGAAACTGCTTTGTAATCTCAGATCCGATTACAATATAAAAAACTGTTTTTCATCTTATAGAAACCCTAGAACCATGCTACTGTTGAATCATAGAAACGTTAGAACGCTTACCTCAATCGATCCGGGGCCTGTATCAATTGATCTGTTCGTCCGATCACTCTAGGCAGGAAGAATACCTCGCCCTCTACACGTATCCACACGTCGGGATGGATTCCAACACCTTGGAACTTGTCTGCTAGGACTAGAGATCTCGATCTCTCTTGTGTGCAAGGTTTTTGGAGGCTTAGGGTTTTATTTTTCTTCTTTTTTTTTTCTTCTTTTCTTCCTTTCTTTCCTTAAAACCTTAGAAGACGTTCTCCTTATATAGACTTTCCAAAATCCTAATTTGACAAGGAATAGATTACTAGGAATCCTAATCTAATTAGGTTTCCTAAACCTATTAGAATTCTAATCTCATTAGGTTTCCTAGATGTAATAGAATTCTAATCTCATTAGGATTCCTATACATAATAGGATTCCTAATCCCATTAGGATTCCTATTCCAATTAGGAATCTCAATCCAATTAGGATTCCTAATCGGGATAATTTAGCACACGTACTTGTCCATCCCTATTGTGTGTGACCCTGTAGGCTCATCCGGAATAGCAGTAAAACGCAGAATCTCCATTCCGGTAATACAAGTCAGAGGCGGTCTCTAGCAAGACACTATGACTACCTATCTCGAATAGAGTTTGTTTGTGATCATACGAAAGCCAGTGATGATTCCGACTGATGATCCTTTTGTATCGCGATATCATATGTCGAACATAAGGCATGGACAAACCACCTTATCTGATTCGACTGCTTTCTCGTTCACTGAGTTCGACTGTCTGAAATAGACGACGTTCGTCTATAGTGCGGCCACACATTTCTACAGTCTTGCTCACACGAGGGGCCCAGCGATATCTCTCTCTTTTACGAGAGGTACAAATCCCGTATTGACTATCTACAATCCAGTACATGATTCATTTC